ACCTCTCCCAGAAAACAGAAGAACACAGCCCGAGAGGGAGGGAGGAGGCTCCAGAGCTTCTCAAGGAATTGGGAAAAAGAAGTGTCTACATTGCAGCCTAACTGGGATGCTGAGTCTGTGAGGAGAGTTCTTTCTGGTAATAATTTATTTTCCTGGGTGGGAATTTTCTCACCTTGTCCTAAGAGGAGGAACCAGTTGTAGTATAAAAGCAGTGGGAGGGGCTCTGGTGCAACACTAAATAGGTTAGGACGATAAAGTAACTGTTTATGTATAAGCTAGTTTCTAAAGGCCAAATTCTGGTATATTCAGTCCACGTGTTTCATACACGTTTTGTAGTTAACGTCGAGTAAATTTTGTTAATGTCAAACCTAGTTTCCATTTTTACTGAAATGTGAATTCACATTTACAAATGATGAGCTAGTTTAAAGAACTTAAAACGAGGCCTAAATAGTATTGAGCACTGTCTTGTTACAGTTAATTGTATATAGATGCTAGGAAAAATAAATGATACTGGAAGTTGAAAAAAAAGTATTTTCCTTTTTTGTTTGAAGTATGATCGTATTATATTTACTGATCCATCATAGATACAGATATCAGCCTGAAGTGTGTTTATGGTTATAGCTCCTTCATAGATTGTCCATGCTGGGCCAAATGAGCTCTAATACAGTGTTCCAACGACAGTTTACAGAGTGGACCAATTGCATGGGATGGTTCTGGGTCCTTTATTTTATTTATTTTTGTAAGATTATTTATTTGAGAGAGGGGAAGAGACAGAGAAAGAGAGGGAGAGAAGCATCGACTGTCTCTCGCACACCTCCTCCCCCATCCAGAGACCTGGCCCATCCAGGCATGTGTCCTGACTGGGAATCCAACCGGCAACCTTTCAGTTTGCAGGCTGTTGCCCAGTCCACTGAGCCACACCAGCCGGGTCTCCAAGGACATTTTGTAAATGTGTATTATTTAATCCATAAAACAATCTCCTGGGGTAGATTGGTCTCTGCTGTACAGATGACAGAATCAAGACTCAAAGAGGTTGAACAGTTTCTGGGATCACACAGCGATTGTAGTCACGTTCAATCTGTTAGGGTGTGTGAACTTGGGTAAGGCCCATAACCTTCCTAACATAGTTTCCTCATCTGTAGAATGAGGAAGGTATTAGCACCTACTTTTTGAGGTTGATCTGAGATTGTTAAATGAGTTACTATGAGAAATTTTGAACCGTGCATGATACATAATAATAATAAGTGTTCAATAAATGTCATTCCTTGCTTGGCAACTGCTACTTGGTATCTTATTAGTTCTGGGTTGTTCTGCTTTTGTACCAATAATCCTCCTTTTATATATTACAGGTCAACAACCTCTTTTCTACAGTTTGGATATCCAAAATGCTTTGAAAACTGCATTTTTAAAAATAAATCATTTACTGGTAAACCCTGATGGGATTTGAACTCGTTTGGGGCCACAGCCTGTGCTGAACTAGCAGGAAACGTGCCCGTCTGTTTTTTCCCGTCTGGTTGTGAATGTGTTGACATTTCGCTGCCGTTCTCCTTCTTGATTTTGTGAGGTGCTTCCCCGGGTCCATTTGGGGTGTTATGGGATACATGGTGAACACATTTTTTTAAATCTGAACACTTTGGCCCTGCCCTGGTAGCTCAGTTGGTTAGAACATTGTCTCAACATGCCAAGGTTTGATCCCCAGTCAGGGCCCATACAAGAGTTAGCCAACGAACGCATAAATTAGTGGAACAACAGAAATCTATGTTTCTTCCTCCCCTCAAATCAATAATTGAAAACTTATTTTAAAAATAAAGTCTAAAAACTTCCAAATCCTGAAAAGCATCTGGCCCTAGGGCTTAGGGTCATGGATATGCACCTGTGTCTGTTTTTCTTCTTAGACTGCAGAGCCCTGGAGACCTGGGACTGCATCTGATTCACATGTTGCCCCGGTTCTTGGGCACATAGTAGGCATTCCACCAAGGTTTGGTGAAAGAACGAACTGCGCCAGAAAATCACAGTGAGGTGAAGGGAGACCAACCTGACACTGAGAGCAGCACCTTATTTGTTTCCTGAAACAAGACTAACAGACTGCCTTTGCTTGACGAGAGGCAGAATTGGTTTACTTTCTGAAGCCTTAAAAATGTTCAGTGTAGGCCCTGGCTGGTGTGGCTCAGTGGATTGAGTGTGAGCTGCGAACCAAAGGGTCGCCGGTTCGATTCTCAGTCAGGGCACATGCCTGGGTTGCAGGCCTCGTCCCCAGTGGGGACCATGTGACAGGCAACCACACATTGATGTTTCTCTCGCTTTCTTTCTCCCTCTGTTCCCCTCTCTCTAAAAACAAATAAAATCTTTAAAAAAAAAAAAGATGGTCAATGTAATGAGAAATTTGGTATCAAAATAAAAAACCAAAACTTAATACCTGTGTTACAGTTTCAGCATTTCTAATTTCTGTTTTTCTCTCTTATCCATTCACCCATTTGGCTCTAATTTTTTGCTGACTTCTTGAGAAAGAAAGCTACCTGGGAATATCTGCATAAGGAATACTTGGGATGGATAGGCAAGTGTGTGTTTAAATTCCTTGGAAAGAATGATCACGAGAGTTTTAAACACCTGGCCCAATTCCTTATGGGTTGAGGGTATTTTGAATTTTACAAAGCATAGGAATTATAGATCAGAATTTCAAAGAGAGAAGTAGAATATTATAGATATAGTAGCAAACTTGAAATTTACTTTTCTGATAAACAGACTTAGTAAGCAAAAGTAGTTTACGCTTAAATTTAAGTGCAATTTAAAATATTTTTTCATTTTATATGCTTTCATAATTAGAATGAAAATTGTTAGTAGCTAAGATATTTGTATTTCCTTGTCTTATATAGATTAAAATAGCTATTCACTAACACAGCAGTATAATTGTGCAGGCTACATAATGCTTCCTTTAATAAAAATTCTGTGGGTATTTGAAGAAATGGAGGAAGAAGGCAGTTTGAATTATGCAAGTGTGGGGTTTTTTTCATTTTGTTTAATAAATTGGCTGGGATACAGTGGCTCATTGGTATTTTTTGATATTTGTAACTGGTACAGCTGAACTTTTAAAAGATAACTGACATGCTGCTTTCTGCTCAACTTACAATGCTTTCACTGTGACAGTTTTCTAAAATGGGTTAAATGAATCAAATACTCTTGTTGAAAAAGAACTTAGTCAAAAAGTTACAGTAATTGAAAAAGCTTATATCAAACTGATTTCTGTTAAATCATTAGTTTAAAATTGTTTTAGTCGGCAACTTCAGTACGACTTCAGAGTTGAGGTAAATGAAGGATGGGTACCTGAAAAAATTCTGATGGGAATTTGACCACTGGGGTGGTCATTTGAGGCTCTAATCATGAGCTGAGGGGATGTAAACTGAACCTGGGGCTTAGAGAAGCCCAGAAGGGAGAAGGTTGTTCTGTAGAAAGAGGAAAAACAAAGTTAATGAAGAGAAAAACAGGGCAGTTAGAGAATACTACTAGTTTTCAGTCTCTGGTCTCTACTCATTATATTCATGCCTTTTGGTTCTGTGATTCATCCTAAATCTTTAGAACCATTTTTCCTTTATTTCTTGAGCTATTTCAAGTTAGCTTATTTGCCAGAGAATAAAGTGTCCTGGGTGCTAGGGATATAGCAAAGAATAAAGCAAAGATCCTGTATTAAGGAGCTTATATCCTACTAGGAGGAAGCAGACATCTAGATGGTGCTGAGTCCCACAGTGACCATATGGAGACAAGGAGAGGGGGTGAGGTGAGAGCGACCAGCGAAGGTCCCTCTGAGAGGGGCCATTACAGCAGAGTGAAGGGGGCAAGCAATAAAAACATTGGGGGCGGAGCTAAAAGCATTTCAGGGAAGGGAAGAGCAAGTGTAAGGACACTGATGCTGAAGCCTACTTAGTGCGTTCAGGGAAAATCAAGAAAGCTTTGGTGTAGAGGATCACAGTGAGAGAGTAGAGTGAGAGGGAGGGAGAGAAAGCGGGTAGAGGGGCAGGTCAGAGGGGTGTGTGCAGTGGTTGAGGAGGGCTCTGTGGTTCAAGATAAGGAATAAAGCTCTCCTCAGAGTGGAGTGAAAAACCACTGTGGGATTTAAGGCAGAAGAGGGACTTGTTTTTAAAAGGGTCATTAGCCCTGAGCAGCGTGGCTCAGTTGGTTGAGTGTCTTTTTGGGAAGCAAAAGGTCATGGGTTTGAATCCTGGACAGGGCATGTGCCTAGGTTGCAGGCCTGGTCCCAGGTCAAGGCGTGTGCAAGAGACAACGAGTCGATGTTTCTGTCCCTCTCTTTCTCCCTCCCTTCCTCTCTCTAAAAATAAAATATGTAAAATATTTTAAAAAAGGATCACTAGTTACTGCATTTAGAATAGACAGGAGAGTGGTCAAAAGCAATAGAAAGGAAACTAGGGGAGAGAGAATGGTGGCTTGAACCAAGGTGGTCAAAGTGGGCATAATCAGAGTTGGTCAAATCCTGGAAAGTTTTTGAAGGATGAACTGACACACTTTATAGATGGTGTACATGCAGGGTATGAAGGAAACAGAAGTTAAGCATGACTCCCAGGTCTTTGGCTCAAACAGTTGGAAGGATGGAATTACCATTTACTGAGAAAGGGAAGACTCGAGGTGGGGAGCGGTTCCGTTCTGAAGTGTTAAGATGGAAGTGCCTGTGAGACATCTAAGTGAGGGTGTCTCCTGGTGCCCTTTTGTGAAGTACTTCTCCCTGGACTCCATTCTTGTACTGATTCTCTATAATTCAGCCTTGAAAACTACAACTCAAGATTTCTCTTCCATCCTCTGATCATGTATCACCATAAAATCCTTTATAAATAATCAAGATCTGTATTTACTAAGCAATCTTCAGTTCTAGTAATAATTGACTATCTCATTGGAGTTTCCGAAGGACTGAAAAGAAGTTATATGTCATATTTTTCAAGCAAATTAATATGTCAATGGAGAACTGAATTAGTCTCTCTCTGTGTTTTTTATAGTTGCTTTGTGTTGTTAATTTTGGAGTAAACAAATTTTAAAAATGAGTGAACTGGAACAGCTGAGGCAGGAAGCCGAACAACTGCGAAATCAGATTCAGGTAAGAGCATTCTTTTTCATTTTTTTTTTAGAAAAAACTGTAACACTTTTATTTAGTACCAGGAATGAACCAAATTTGTTCACTAGGTTATCAGTCTACATATGTTAAATAGTTTATAAGATTAGAAATGGTCAACTTGTATTTATCATGCCTCTAAAGACCTCTCCAAACATCGTTCCTGAAAAACAGATGGGGAGCAATGGCCTCTGTGTCCAGAAGTTAATGTTATATGTGTAATCCCTGCTGACGGACAAACATAACTCTTCATCACAGACTTGAAATCATAGTTTGATATTTGGTGCAATAAGAGGCAGGTTACCACATTGTAATATACTACAAATTATTCATCTCTAAAACATTAGATTGCAGAAAAACATTAAAAATTGTTAGTGGCATAATAAAGACATGTCTGTCCTCTTTTACTCTTAGAAATCAACTCAAAATAGCAAAGACCATAAGAAACAAACACAAGGTCCATCTTTAACGCAATTAAAAGGCACTTAGAGCTTCATAGTAGAATGGGGAACAGTTGTCAGAAGTGCCCCAGGTTATGGGAGGGCTCCGAGAGGGGTTTCTGCATCTATAAGTCTCACACAAAGTAGGAAGTGCTCCCTCAGGGACTCCAGTAATAACGCCAATAATCCTTTCTTTGGAACAATGGAAATGGATGCTTCCCTGGACTGGGGAATATCAAGATAGGCAGAGACCCCCCCCCCCAAAAAAAAAAAGAAAGAAAGAAAGGACACAGACATTCCTCCTTTTAGGAAACCTCTTGTTGACAGAGTGTAGTAAAGAAACTAATTGTGTGCAGATTGGGGTGGCTGACTTCTTTTCACAGGGAAAAAGGGAAGGCTAAAACAATTCACAAGTATAAATGAAGAACTTTGACAAGAAGCAGGGAGAAACTCTTAATAGCTTGGAATCCTGCTGTGGCCCTCTCCAGTGTGAACATTTTGCAGTAGGTACTTCAGAAGAACTCGTCTACTTTAAAAGTGAAGAGTAAGAAAAAAGCACAGCCTCTCCACAAAGAGATTACAAGACAAGACGGGAAGGAGGAGGATAAACAAGAGATGGCAAAAAAACACGCACTGAAGAAGTGTTGATTCTAAGTGGGTTGAAATCATAATCGATCTTGTTGCCAGGAATTCAAAGAAGCTAATGAGTTAGATGTGAATAAGAACTTGGAGTTGATCAAACCTTAGGTGTCTGAACAAAGCTGACAAAACAAAGGAAGAACTAATTTTGCCTGGGATGAACAGAGAAGGGTTCATGGGCTAATCCCTGAATCAGATGTTGCTGCCACCACCAGAAAAGATTCTCCACCATCTCTAGTTTTTGTGACTTGTTCCAGATGCTGAGCAAAATCTACTGGTTGGCCAAGCACATGATCACATGATCACCTCATTGTTAGAAAATCCATTCTCTGTAGTTAAGAGCTTGATTTTTTTTCCGTTTTTTGGGTAGATTCTACAAATAAGTAAGATCATGTGGTATTTATCTTTCTCTGTCTGACTTATTTCACTTAGCACAGTGCCCTCAAAGTCGATTCATGTTGCTGCAAATGGCAAGATTTTGTTTGGTTTTATGGCAGAGTAACATTCCACTGCATATAGATACCATCTATACTTGATCTGTTCATCTGCTGATGCACATTTAGGTTGTCCCCACATTTTGGCTATTGTAAATGGCCAAATATACAAATATATAATGTGGAAATGAACATGGGATGTCTATATCTTCTCAAGGTAGTATTCTGGGGGTTTTTTTCCAAACAAATACTATTATTCAGAAGTGGAATTGCTAAATCATATGGTGGTTCTAATTCTAATTTTTTGAGGAACCTGCATACTGTTTTCCAAAGTGGCTGCATCAGTTCCATAGTACACCTCACCAGCAGGACAAAAGTTCCCTTTTCTCTACATCCTTACCAACACTTGTTATTTGTTGTCTTTTTAATAATAGTCATTCTAATGCACAAGGTGATATCTCATTGTGGTTTTAATTTGCATTATTCCGATTATTAGTGATGTTGAACATCTTTTCATGTGCCTTTCTTAAGTCTCATTTCAAAAATGTCTATTCAGATTTTTTATCCATTTTTTATCAGATTTCTTTGTTGTTAAGTTGTATTGAGTTCCTTATATGTTTTGCAAATTACCCCCCATCATGTATTTGGTTTGCAAATATTTTCTCCCATTTGGCAAGTTGCCTTTTCATTTTGTTGATGCTTTCCTTCGCTGTGCAGAACCTTTTTAGTTTGAGGTAGTCCCACTTACACAAGTCTTTAATCCATTTTGAGTTAATTTTTGTGTTGGTATAAGACAGTGATCTAGTTTTATTTTTTTGAATGTGCCTGTCTAGTTTTCCCAACATTGTTTGTTGAAGAGACTGCCCTTTCCCTGTTGTATATTTTTTTTCCTCTTTTCTTTTCTTGTGAATTAACTGATTATTATGCATGGACTTATTTCCAGGCTGTCTATTCTGTTCCATTGCTCTCTGTGTTTGTTTTTATGTCAATACCATACTCTTTTGATTACTATAGCTTTGTAATATAGTTTAACACCAGGGCTCATGATGTCTTCAGCTTGTTCTTGTTTCTCAAGATTTCTTTGGCTATTTGGAGGATCTTTTGCGGTTCCATACAAATTTTAGGATTGTTCTATTTCTGTGAAAAATGACATTGAAGTTTTGATAGTGATTGTATTGAATCTATAGATTGCTTTGGGCATAATGAACATTTTAACAATGTTAATTCTTCTAGTCCATGGGCATCGAATATCTTCTCATTTATTTACATTTTCAGTTTCTTTATCGATGTTTTATAGTTTTCAAGTGTTTTGTCTTTTACCTCCTTGGTTAAATTTATTCCTAGATATTTCAATTTTTTAAAATACTTTTGATTTTTATCGTTGTTCAAGTATAGTTTTCTGCCCCTTCCCCCAACCCCTCCCCACCACCCCAGCCTTCCTCACCTCCCTGCCCTGTTTCCACCCCCCTTGTTATTGTCCATGTGTCCTTTATAGTTGCTCCTGTAAACCCTTTACCCCCCAAAAAACTGTTAAAATTAATGAATTCAGTAAAGTTGCAGAATAGAGAAATCAGCATACAGAAATCTGTTGTGTATTTATATCCTAATAAAGAACTATCAAAGAGAGAAATTAGGAAAACAGTCCCATGGACAATTGAGTAAGAAGTTGAAGTGTCACGAGCTGAGCCAGACCGGTCAGGGCTGTCGTATCGTTGAGCTCTGAGAGGCAGGCTTTCGGGTTTGTCCACTGCTGCATCCATGGTCCCTGGAATAGTACCTGACACACTGTGTTCAATGGCTTTTTTAATTGGATGACTGAATTAGGAAGATGACCTAAATGAAATAGTTCATTTCATAAAGCTTAAAATTAGAGGACCTTTTTTTTAGAATTTAGTCTTCAAGTCTACCATTTTTGGAACACGGCTCAGGTCATCACAGTCATTTCTGGAAATTCTTTTCATTGTAGGAAAGTGGGCTAAGTCATTCCTTGCCAAATGAGGTTTCTGAACCCACAATTTGACTAAGAATGAGAGAGTCAAATCGTATGTTTGTGTAACTACTACTTATAACACCCTGCCACAGAAATATTCTAAGTGTTTATAAATAGGTTGAGAGGGCAGCTAGACACATTGTGCGTCCCATGCAGGGTCTGCTGCAAGTGGAGGCAGGTGTTTTTCCGTGGGCCGACTGGAACGCAGTGTCTGTTTGGGACAGTTATTCAACAGATAGCGTGTGCACCCTCTTTGCACAGGAACATGCGGAGCACAGTGGGGGGAAACGAAGTTAGAGAGGATACTATCCTAACCTTCAGGGGAAAATACTGTTTCAAGTCTAGAAGGAGGAATTAATAGCACTTCTGATTTTCCCATGTATACAAGTCCTCTAAATTTATTATTAACTGATAAACTTGGTTGAAAACATTTTGTTGCTTATTATATATGTTCTTTTCCTGCCTTTCCTTGTTTTGTTATATTGATTTCTGTTTCAATATCTCCCTTTTGATAATTCCCTTCAGTTTGTGTAAAAATTTAAGGTGTCTGAAAGTCTACCTTATAATGCTTAGTCATAAACACCAGTTTATATGTTATTAATTAGTGCTATTAATATGGAAATATAGATGTCACTTAGTATAACTGTGGCTATTTATATAAAAATTGTTTTTCCTGAGATGTCATGTCTTTTTCTCATATTGGATCTTAAATATTTTATTTCTAATAGCATCTGTATCCAGTGTACTTGGAAAGCATTTTCAGAGAAGTGTTATGCATTTTAAAAAATATTTCTACAATGATCTGGGTACACTATCAATATCTTTCCTATCACCTCAACTTCTAGATGCCGGAACAAACAAAAGGGAACTCAGAACTCTTGCTTTTTGCTGAAGCGTAGTAACAAATGTAACTGTGAATCCTGTGGCCTTATTAAATCAACTTTGTTTTTACTCAGGGGATACAATTGAAAAATCTTTTAACTATAAACCCAATATATGCTTGCACAATGAAATACAGTTGAGAGTCCATTAAAAATCAATTAGCCACAGACACACGGTTTCTCAACAAGGGTAACCAGACCCTTCAATAGGGAAAGAGTAATCTTTCCACACGGTGGTGCTGGGGCGACAGGGCACCCACATGCAGCAGAGTGAGTCCGGCCTCCTAAAACACACCATGCATCAACACTAACTCACAGTGGTGCCCCAATATAATGGTCAACAGGGTAAAATGCTTACAAGTCAACAGAGCTGTTCATCCTTGTGACCTTGGATTAGGTAACGGTTTAATATGACACTAAAAGCACAAGCAACAAAAGAAAAAATACATAAATTAAAAACTTGTGTGTCAGAGGACACTAAGTTGATGAAAAGACAGCCTACAGAATGGGAGAAAAGACTTGTAGATCACACATCTGACAAGGATCTAGTATTCAAAATACTAGACCTGCTACAACTCAGCCATAAACAAGTAACCTTACT